CCAGCATACAAGCGTGGATAAATGTTGAGAATACATAAAAGATTGGTGCAGCAAATGAGAATTGTGTAAATAGCGAGTCTTCGGAAACATTTCCGAAAATAGCAAAATATGCACAAATTTTGAAAGCTGTTCAGTGAGTGGTGTTAACTTTTCAAAATAAGTTCTCAACTTCTTTAGGAATTAGATCGTCTGGATATGCGCTGTTTTCAAAGCATGAATCGGATTACTATCGAATTCGCTCTTTTTCTTGTTTATATGTCACTAATTGTCGGAATTTGCATCGTTCTTTCGGTAATATTGGCCAAATATCCGAACGGTTCATGCATACGAGACAATGGACAGTGGAGAATATTGTGTCAGTACCGTCATTTCATTTTACCTTTCCAGCTTTTTTAAGTTCCTCTGAATCCAAAGAAAAATAAGGCATGCAATTTGATAAAACCATGAAATTTTATTCTTTAAGAGTTTCGTTATTTTCTGCACAGAAAATCCGATATTTTGATAACTTTAGTTTCAGTGTTTTTTCTTCAATGTTTTTCAAACCCATATTTATCACTTAATTTATATTTAGAGAATTGTTTTATAGTTTCAAAAAGATCATTTCAAAATCTTGACATCTTGAAATCTTATTTCTTTCTCTTCTTTTCATTCTCTTATTTTCAGCTGTGTGCAACACGATGCGTTTTATACTTCTTTTATTTATGGTATTTTTGACACTTTTAAAAATCCTGCGCATCACACCACTGTTTATTTTCACGCTGCATGAGGCATTGTATACTGCTAGCGTATGTGTCTTCATATCCACTTCTATATAGTTGCTTTAATTACTTTGTATTTTATGCCATATTAACTTTATTTCAGCTCCTACGTATACGTATTCAGCTCTCGGCACTTTATTTTCTTCAGTTCTTGCTCAGTCAACCGCCAGCGAAATTTACCTTTTTCCCGGGTGATTCCTATCAGGTAGCATTAGGAGAACAGAAAAATTTAAATAAAATTGTGGATGCTCTGATTCGAAAGGCGATGAAAAAAAACAAAGAAGTGCTTGACCTAATTACTGTTATCAAAACCAAACAAGCCATCCGAATGGCTGCACAAACGCTGGAACATACTATTATTGATTTGCAAAAGTTAGAAGTTATTGTTCAAATGCATTCGTAAACCCATTATTTTTTCTTTTTTTTTTTGCTTTAGGTTATAATCATTAGTATCCTAATATTATAAATTATCTAAATAACTCTGCTTAAATAACTCTGACTTCTTTCCGTCAAATTGATTATAATTCCAGAATTTAAAGTATTTAATGCATAGCTATTTTCATTTTAGGCAGGGATTTTTGCATCACGAATCGGTACAACAGTGGGAGCGTTCGTTGAATCGTTTGCGTGATCGTGGTGAGCGTTTAATTAATTCTCCGGATCCCAGCTTTCAGGATGCTCTGGAATCTGTTCATTGGATTCAGGCTATCGATAATCAGAAAAGGCAGGACATAGTGGATAAATTGGTCAAATATCTTGAAACACAATCTGGAATTGAACAGTCAGGTGGCCAGTTAGTCCAAACGTTCGGAAAGACGATGTACTTTATCCGAAAGGGCATTTGCAAGTTAGTCATTTTTCTCTGACCACAAGATATCTTTTTTAGGAAATTTATTTGTTCCATTTCTTTTTTGCAAGCTCTCAAACTTCTGTTTTTGGTTTCAAATGCGAGTACGATTGTGAGGCTAATGTAAATATGATTACTAATGATAAATACAACTACTAATTACAGAGTAACTGAAATGACATTATCGAGGCGGGGGAAAGAGCACAAGCACGATTATTATGTATATCAGGGGCGCTTTGTTGGCGAGCGAAATTTGTTGGACAAAAATGATTTCGTTTGTTTTCTTCTGATTGCCAGAAATTTTTCATTACTTTAAAATTCCGATGGAAAAAAAGTAATAAATCTAATGTAATCCTCAAAAAATATGATAAATTGATATGTAAAAATATCACTGAAAAATGGCTTTGTTGTTAGGAAATTTTCCAAGCTTTTTAGCAATATATCTAATTTGATCTTATTGTTTAAGCGACGCGAATCCGTGAAAAAACCAAAAGTTGAATACAGGACATCAACCGACTGCATTTTGATCAAGATTGATGAAGATACAATGGATATGGTTCGCTCATTTGATAGCTCAATCATTAGGACAATATCGCGAAAGGAGCAAACACGACGACTTATATATGAACTAAAGGAACAACATGAGTCGTTTGTATTTACTTTCTTAGATACAATTTCAAATTTATATTGGGTATTCATATATATTTTGTATTCATATACTATTTGCATACAGTTTCAAATTTCTACTCATGCACACTGGTTGGAAGTATATAGATTTTTAGAATATATCTAAAGTAATCAGAACTGAATTTACAGAAAATTAATTGAAATTAAAATAATGTTAATGGTATTACTGCAGTTTTGCTTTAATAACTTTGGATGAATTCGAAAAATTATACACAAGACATGGATATTCCGTGGGTGGTCGAATAGACATTGAAGTTGGAATTGGAAGGAAGCTTATTATCGGATTCCGAGCAATGATGGTTGCCTTGAAACCTTCAACGAGTTTAGATGATCATTATCATATTCTGGGACCAGCTGTTGTAACGCTGAAACCTGTTGGTGAAGATGTAAGGTTTCTTTTATTCTTAAAAGTGTAGCTAGGAATCTGAAATGGAATATAGAGTATGAATGATAGCTAGTTCAGAAAAAGTTAAACTATTGAAAATCCGAAAAATGAGTACATTTTTTAGGAAGGAATGTCTGTTCTTATTGATAATGAGCGAAGTGCCGATCAGCCGACCCTAGATGTAGAAAGTAATATATCATTAGAAACTGGAACGGAAGAGCCGGACAAAATTTTATCAAGGAAAAAAGTTAATGCTAAAATATGTTTTCTTGACCGTTTCATCCATGTTTTATGAGATTTTCACCAGTTGAAATTTTATAATTCTAATAAATTTAATAATTTTAAGCAAATTACTGAGAAAAATAGTTACCAAATTTACAGGGCAGTATTAAAAAGAAAATATTGTCAACAACTTCAAGGACCGCGGTAATAGTTCACATTCAAGTGCATTCAGTTAACTTTTGTTTATGAAATACGGATTATACATTTGCTCTAGAATTGAAGACTTATTTTAATAGCAACAAAAATTTTTTCTTATTGATTTTCATAAAACTAAACTGCTTCATTTAGCAAACACTCCCAGTCCTTTTGGAGAAGACCAAATCATCGTTTGGTGAGCTAGAAAAGGTAAAAATGGAATTAACTGAGTCTGTTTTTACACTGAGTCTGTTTTTGCTTTTGCTTATTGCACTTCATGCCACTTAATTCAGTTTATTCGGTATCACCAAATTGTTGAAATAAATGATTAAATCAATGTTAGCAAACAAGCATTCAAAGAAATATTGAACTAAATCAGTGACTAAATTAAGGTTAGTACACAGATGTCCAAAGCTAGCACATTGTACAAATAAGCTCAAAATTGACAAAAGATTGGCTTGCATGCACAGAAGGATTGTGATTATTACATCTTCAGATATAACTTATTTCAGGGTAAAATAGAAGCAAAAAAATTACGGCCAAGTTCAGAACGGACTCAACTGACAAGGAAGACTGAATCAAAACCTTTAAAACCATCATCAGTAGATGTAACAGAAAAGAAGACATTAGAAACACAGTCGGATGAGGAAGATGAAGACCAAGAACAGAAAGATTCGGAAACTACCGCAAAACTGAGGAAAAAGACGGAAAAATATTTAGAAATCGAGCGCACTCAGACACATTCACAACAGTCCTACGTCACAAGTATCACAAGCGTTAAAAGTTCCAATAGTGAAGGTACTATTAACTCTAATTTCAGTGGTTAAGCATTTAATTATTACAAGAACTGTTGAAAAAACATTGATGTTTGAACAATTTAAAAATCACCGAACAAATTGTTGCAACATTTTTTGTGTTGGTGCTAATTAATCATCCAATTATTTCTGTACTTTGCACTTTTCAATTCTTTTTTTTTTTTGTCATTTACTAAACTTTTCTTATATCTTAAACCAATACTGGTTCATGTGTTCAAAATCATGTATCATTTCTAACATGCTAAAATATACATAGATCTATTTTTGAGTTTTCCTTTTTTTTCAGCACCAGCAAAGTGATCAAAATAAACCGAAGAATTTTGCATTTTTGTATATATTTTAAAGTATCATTTTTAGAAAAATTGTTGCTGTGCTGAAGTTCCAAATCATGGACTGAACAATAATTTAATTTTTAAGGATTAAAATTCAATTATTTTTCTCTGTTCCACATTTTTATCTATAGATGGAAACTGTAACAATTAACATAGTAGATTTCTGAAGTACCACAATTCAGTTAATTCTCTTACAATTGATTTCGTTATGACATCTAAGGTTACCAATGTGAAATTTCTCACCAAATTCCCCTTTATCATGGGCTCGCATAACATTATTTAATGAACAAAGTTAGAGTTCATTCGTAACATTCCTTATTAACAATAAAAATTCAACAATTTTAAAATGTGAAGTTGTAAACATTGTTATGGTGGAGCTCCACATAATAAAAGACATTGAAAGAAACTTAGGTGAAACGGTATTCTCAGTTCACTGCATGAGTAGGGAGAACAACGGGGCAGTTTAAAATTTAATATGCAAAATACAATAGTATTATACAAAGTTATACATTAATGTCAGCTTATTAGTTGGTCTTTAATCTAGATCTAGACGACAAGAAATCAAAAGTCAAGAATTGTTGACATATTGTATGTGAAATTATGACAGTTACGGGCATTTTCTTCCCCACTGAGTTCTTTGAAATCATCTTACGATAAAGATGGAATTAAACATTTCAAAAAAATGAAAATAAGCTGTACAGAATCACTGGACTTCATTGAACTGAATTTTGAATTGATAATTATGAATGCCAGTCGAAAATGATTGTATTCAATAACCTGATTACATTAAATCTTTTCATTACAGTGAAAACTTATCCAGTATTTCGGGAAGGAGTTATTCAAGTCATTATTTTAAAAAAAAGTATTTGATTTTTCTTGTTTAATCTCAATTTATATTTAGGCTCGAACTATATTTACTTTTATGACTTCATCGCAACGTAAGCACTACTTAAGGTACACTTAATTACAGGGAACGATATCATGGAATTCCTAGAGCGTACTCAAATTCATTTTTATTTTATGTTCACTCGATGCCATTTGCAGTCTAATTGGGTAGATTCTAATTGATTTAAATCAGTTTCCTCATGAATCTTGTCTATTCGATAAAATTTTTGGATACGACCAATGTCCACCATAACTATCAGATGTCAGTTGATATCTTTCCCATTCAGACACATAAAGTCGGAAGCAATCCAAACGTCTGATACCGATTGTCATATCATCTTCATATTTATGTAATCGTTGAATAGCAAAGTTTGGTAAGCAAAAGTCATAGCAATTCGAGCAGCTTGAATCTGAAATATGCATGATATTGTTAGGGTACTAACCTGTAAATGTAATAAAGAGCATAATTATATATAATGAGAATTAGCAAATATCTCAATTAAGCGCTTCAACAACAAGTAATACCAGTATTAAAGGTTAGAAGTTCTGAACTAACCTCTTGTATAGACCGTATGTTTCAGCAAGTACCACTGTGCACTTTGGCAATTATCGATTTCATTTGTAAATTTACGTTTTGCACTTTTAGCATCTATTGCTTCTGCATGGTACTGCCAATATTCTTGCCATCCGTATTCCGAATAAATCTTAATGCTCAGCCGGAGGTTTCAAAATGACGAGATTTATAAGCAATAGCAACATTTGGTAAACAAATTTAAGAGCCGAGACGTTTTTTGTTACAATGTTATTTGCATTATTCAAAATTTATGAGCTTTTGTAAATTGGAAATTAGACAAAAATTGAATAGTCGGCATGCTACCTCAGACGTTACAGATGAAAGTGCATCACGAAGAGCTGAGATATTTGGAATAGCGGACCGGTCAAGAGGTATCAAGAAACACACAATCTGTTTGCCAGAACTGTCAATCAACGCATGATCCGCTATTGCTACGTAACCCTGCAAATTTCAAATGCTGCTACCAAGAAACAGAAATAATGTTAATTTAAAAATTTCCTGTGGAATATTGACAATACACTAAAGAGTTAAACTGTTCAAAAGAAATGTCGATAAGGACGTAAATAAAAATAAAAGAAATGTAGATAAGAAATAAATAAAAGTACCGTCTCGAAATCGATAACACTGAGTGAATTACTTCTGAACGGTAAATTACCGATCAGCTCGAAGTGAACCTGTGATGAACTGTAAAAGATAATATTAAGTAGGCTGGGAATCTGGTTGTAAACGCCATCCTGGACAAGACGATGACACTTCTTACATATTGGTGGATATAGAGATAACGTCCGTACCTAAAGGCTATTTTTTCACAAAGAAAGTCATACAAAACTCATCTATTTAGACTTATAACAAATTTATTACAGAAGCTCATTGTGAACATCTAATAGTATTTTATATTTAGGAGATCATTAAAAGTTGGTATTTAGACAGAAAGACTTCAAACACCAATCGCAAAAATTTTCTAACTTCAAAATTATTTCTTAAAGACTTTAAAAAACATTTCAAAATTTAAATAATCATTCATAATATTGATAAGTATCTAGAAAGCAGAAATGAGCCGCTTTATTAGCCTCAAAAATATAGCCTTCATTACCATCCAGTGGTAACACTTACCGAATAAGAACCAAATAAAGCGTTAAGAACAATACCAAGCAAAATAAAAAATAAAGTGATAAGAAGCAAAAATAACAATAAAAGACAAATTAAGCGAGGCGTCCATGTCGTATTCCTGAAATTTTCTTTCCGACACTTAAAACATTCACAAGAATTGCTTCAGAATAATTTTCAATTTTTCACTTTACATGAAAAGAGGTAGGTAGTGATACTTTGGTAATCATTACGGTATATAACACTTATGACGTACAGAAAAGATACCTTAAAGAGATCCATGTGCATTTCTACTTCCATTAGCTTCAATTTCCACTTGACGACTATTTGCTATCTCGAGATACAAGGACTGAATTTTGTAAGGAGCAAATGATTTCCCAAATTTATTCCCGGTTTCTGAGATTATTAAAATAAGGCTCACAATTTGCTGAGAATTGCAATAACTTAGAAAACCTTGCTCTGGAGATAATTTTCCTTATGAATTGTATCATTTGTTCCCATAATGTGATCATTTCCTCGGATGATTGCGAATGCGATTTTATAAAATCGGCGATTAATGAGGCATCCGACCGAGGCTGTAATTCGGAATTATCATGAAAATTTAAATGCTTTAAGGTTGATATATTTTCCCTTCATTAAAATTGGCATTCCGTAGCATATGTTTCAACTCACCGCATAAACATCAGTCGGGTCATCTTGTTGTCCCATTTGCATACGCTTGTAACTATCCTTTCGCGACAGTTTACTAAAATAGGCCACACTTCCAGATTTAGATTAAATTGAATTAGAACAAGATAAAGTTAAACATCAAACGATGATCAGGAAAGGCAGATCTTTAAATTTTGCATAGAAGTGCTATGATTTAATTATGTATATTGTAAAATATTGTAATCCTCGGTGGAGCAAATCTAAATTTACTTAGGAGGTAATAAGCATAAAAAAGAAACTCTATTAAATATTTTGGCGGAAATAATAAAAGACGATTAGAAAGTGGTTTCCACCATGCCTTCTTTAGTTACTCTCTGCTCTAAGTTCGAATCTTTGCAACTAATTAACTAATTTTTGTAACTAATTAGTAAGCGAACCTTTCTGCCGGTAGAGTATCGGTATCTTGCCAGGTTTTCGTTCTCTCAGTGGGTGGTAAAGGAAGTGTATAAACAGTTTGCCGATGATGATCAATTGTAGCACCAATTTCATTAGCAGTTGACCTAAATGACAATTCTCATTTTGAGAGGAAGTATTTCAGATTGCAGTTTGGTGTGAAAATACAAGCAACCTTGCTGAGTGAAGAAAGCCGACTTCTTTGTGACTAGATTTGAGAGGTGAGGAGATTCTTGAAGGCTTTCCTGCAGTTCGTTCCTGAATCAGTGTTGTCCGCTGATGTTCAACACTTCTATCAGTAGGCATCTGCTGCTGCTGATCTGGGCTCCGCTCTGTGTGCTGCATTCCGGATCCATCATCATTGATAAGGCCTGTCCCATGCGTTTGCACTATTCTTGCACCGCCCTCTGTAATAATAACTGTAGTCGAATTGAAGTGGGAGGGATTTGAGCAACAACTCAATATTGTTTACAATGATTAAGAATGTTAAATTTGATTTGTTGCAAAATATTTACATAGCTAAAAAACAAAAACTAATCTGTGATAATTAGAATTCAAAGCTTTAAATTTAAATGAGTAAGCATTGTGAACTGACCTGACGTATGAACTTCGTGAACATCGTATCCATAGGAATAAATATTTGCCATGGAACGATCTAGATTATCTGATAATTTGAGGTATGGTATGGATACGTTTACTGAATCCGTTTGACCAACCGGAGGCATCCCTATAATTAATTATTCTTAATAGATCGATCCTCCTCACTCCTTTTCATCTTACAAATCAGTAAACATGCTCTTTATTAATTTATTAATGATATGCTCAGGCTTTCCTTATTTAATTAATAACTTTGTATTTATACATGATTAAAAGGAAGGATTGGTTAGCAGCAGCAACATTAAGGTTTAAGTTAAATTTTCAGAACTATACTGGACTCATAACTGATCAGATAAAGTCTCATATATTCCATTTCTTTTGTAAACAGAAATTCAGGAGAAAGCTATAAAAAGAAATAAGGAAAAAGAGTAATTAGTAGTATCTAAGACTATGACAGCAGAAGAGAAAACCAAAGTTTAGAATTTTCAACAAACGCTCTTCCACTGCTTTATTCACGGCGTTGCTTTTTAACCTAATTCTCTCTTATAATTTAAATTAATTAACAAATACATGAAAATCTGAAGAACCATCCATGAATTATAAGTAATGAAGACATGAAATAATCTATAAATACCAATATAAATCCAAACTATTGAAATTTTGAACTTCGTCCATATCACCCCTTGCTCTTCAAACAAACCGATGTTATAGAAGGCGATAAGCACATATAAATTTTACTTAAAAGTTTTACTTATTAGTGAAATATTAAACAATGACAACAAGAAGGTATGAAGTTCTCTCATAATGTCAACTTTGTAGATTTGTAAAATGAGCAGTTAGTATAGTCACTGTAGTTTCATGAATAGATTTTTTATTTTATTAATGTGTTTTAAAAGAAAGTTTTGATATGAGTTTTGATGTGATAATATTATCAATCCCACAAAATATATCTTGCAAATTTCCGTAAATTTCTAAAATAACCAAACGTGAGTTCTCCAATTTCAGTGAGCTCTCCAATTTAATTCAAACGGATGCCAAAAGATACTGAATGCTTTTTTTGAACATAGCAATTTTATGTTGAATTGCAAATTTATTTATTAATTGCTAAGAAGCTCAAAAATTATAGCAAAACATTTAAAATCCAAGTACACAAAATTGACATCCATTTGAAGGATAAATTAAAATGACGATACGGTTGATTATTTGTTTATGTAGCAATGAGGTATTTAATGTTATTTATATTTGCAATAACAGAAAGTACTACTAATAATACCTGATGTTTGCAAGAAGGATGCATCTCTGCTGCAGTCTCTTTCACCGGTTGCATAGAATCTGGAAGCGATAATAGATAACAAGGAATTGGAAGTTGAATTTGAAGGGAAGATGTAGTAATTTGAAGCGATAGAGACAGTTGGATAAAAATTTCCAGTCTCTAGCTGTGTTTTAAGGATAATCCGTCTAAGAAAAAGCAGCAAAGGAACGAACCTTCGCTCTGCTTCAGTATTAAGTGCAGATGAAGGTGCTTGTAAAAAGTTTCGTGATGTACGGTAGAAATCATGAATCGGTAATTCCTCATTGTATCGTTGTTCAACTGTTTCTGTTAGAATTTCTTGAAGGGGAATACGTGAATCACTGGTGCTGGCGCCAGTAGTTCGACGTGATTCGGTCACATAATGCTCAATAATTTCCTCTTGCTCAATTTTCTTCGCCAGAGACTCATAGTCCATCTAGAAAAAGAACAAATTATGTACGAAAAAAACAAGAAATATATTCTATGGTATCAGAGCAAGGTCAGAAGTAAAAT